AGTTTTTTTTACATGAAAGATAACATCTTTGCTTCTGATTGTCTTTCTCTTCACTAGATTTTATACCTAGTAGTCAAATTTCTTATTACCATATCCTACAAACACATATTGTGTGACTTTACTATCAAGCTTTAACCTCTGCTTTTTCAACACATGCATGAATACTTTACATCCGAAAACTTTTAAATGAGAGTATGAAGCATCTTTTTTTGTCTACATTCTTTCTGGAATGTCAAAGCCCAAAGGAACTGATGATGATCTGTTAAGCAAATAACAAGCTATGTTAACTGCTTCACCCTAGAATGGCTTTAATAATTTTGCTATTCTTAACATACATCTGACTTTTTTCATAATGGTGTAGTTCATCCTTTGAGCTACACCATTATGCTATGATGTTTTAAGTTTTGTCATCTCATGCTTGATCCCATACTTTAAATAGTACTCTTTAAAGTTTTTGGATGTGTATTCCCCACCATTATCAGTTTAAATATATTTCAAGGGTAACCTTGTCATCCTTTTCACTACGGTATGAAATTTTTAAAAATATTGCAATACCTGACTTTTGTTTTTCAACATGTATACCTAAGTTTTACATGAAGCATCATCAATAAAAGTAACAAAATACTTGCTACACCTAATGACTCAACCTTAATGAGACCACATACATCAGAATAAATTAATTCTAATATATTTTCTTTTCACTGATAACTCTTACGAAAAGAAACTCTATGATCTTACTAAACAAAAAATGATCATATGAATCGAGAGACATACCTTTGACAAATGAATGAAAAATTGCCTTGCCAAAACCTCTAACCCCTTCTCACTCATGTGTGCCAGCCTCTTGTGGCACAAGTTTGTTAAAACATCATCTTCAACGACATTTATCTGGTTGTCGTTTAATTGCATCTCTATTTTATATATTGTGCAACATAGTTTTTCTCTTGCAACTTAGATCTTTTGAGAAGCTTTCACTACCTATTGTTTTGTCGACTCTTATATCCTTTTTTATCAAGGACATTAATAGCAAGTAAGTTCATTCTCATATCTGAAATGTGTCTAGCATCTCTTAAAGTCAACATATAGCTGTACCAATTTATACAACAATATCACCAATCCTAACAATCTACGACACACTCTTATTTCTCATCTTAGGATAACCAAAGTCTCATGTTTTATAAGTTATAAACAACTCGCTCTTAAGAACACAATGATAAGTCGCTCATGTGTTAACTATCCACTCAATGCCGGGATCACCAATATTATTACAATCATCATGTGTACAAATTAAAGTAACTAAATTACTATCTGAATTCACTGCTACAATATTGTCATCATCTGAACTTTTATCTTTCTCATCTTTTCGCTTTTGTTTCAGGATTTTACAATGTCGTTTTATATGACTTGCTTTACCACAATGGAAACATTTTATTTTATCTTTAAACTTAGATCTATGTTTAGACTTATTACAACTTTTTGAGTTCTGATCTCTGTCGATGTTTCTATTCATGTTCTCTGTGACTAGAGCTTGATTCCCAAGGTCTACATCTTTTTTTCTTGTTTCTTCATTAAGCATATTGTCATTTACTATCTTCAATGTCATCTTATAATCAATAGCTGAATTAAAAACAGTTACAACTAGAGTATTCAGCTGTCTGGCAATGAACTCAAAAGAAACAACGTCTTCATTTCATCATCCATCTTAAGCTCCATAGTAGTCATCAGATTAAATATGTTTTGAAAATTACTCAAGTGCTCTGTAATTGATCATCCATCCATGTACTGTAAAGTTACAAGTTTTTTAACAAGCATAATTTTATTCATACCTATTTTTCTCTCATACAATGTTATCAATTTTTTTCAAATAATATGGGCATTTGCCTCCCATGCTACATGATGGAATACGCTGATATCAACTCATTTTTTTTATTGTAGCTAGCATCTTTCTACCTAACTTCTTTCAGTTTTCATCTCTCATAGCTACTGATTTAGCTAAATCATCTAATATTGGCTCATATAAATCTTTGCAGTATAAATGATCTTCCATCATAGGCTTTCAAATTGAATAATTTGATGCTGTCAATTTTATCATGAAACCTATATCACCCTTCATGATCTTAAACAGAATTTACTTCTGTCTTGGGTTGCTTCTATATCAATATCTCAAAATAACCCTCACTCTGATACTACTTGTTGGGCCTGAAGCAATAAACACAACAACGCAGAAGCAATATATCGTAATAAACTCACAGTAATAGACAATATTCAACAATCAACAACGCAAGAAAAATAAAGCACACTAAGATTTATGTGAAAAATCCTCTCGTGTAGAGGAAAAAATCATAGACCACCAGAAAACTCTCCATTATCAAATAATAGATATATAAAGTTCTTTTTTAGCTAAAACTAGAGCTAATCAACAACTAGAGAGAGATAATTGGAGAAATCTCACCAAATGGATAACTCAACAAATATACCTTGGATTTGTCCTAGAGAGCTACAAATCCGATCCTCATCATTCAGAATGAAAAACTTTTAATCATAAACCTGCTAACAAAATTTTAACTCAATCGGACCATGGATCAACTTTCATTCAACCAATTCTCTCTTCTCCTTTTTCTCTCTATTTTTTTGGCTTTTTTCCTTTTTTTTTTTCTTGATTTGCAACTTCACTTTAAAATAGCCTCACATTGTTTTATGTAGTTAAGGCTATGTGTAAAATGATAGGCCAAAGCCCGTGATCTTTAATTGATCCAAAACCAATTACATGGGGTTGAACCCCATTTTCCTAACATAGACACGGTTCAGTCTCATGCCCCATCTTGGCTTTGCTTATTTTTCCACTCATTAATATTACTTGCAATAATGTTCTCACTACAAGAGAAAAATTCGAAAAATTTTCATCACTAAAAGTCTATTATTACGGATGGATTTTTGATGAATTTTTAACGGAACATGAAGAATCAGATTTTTGAAATTTCTGACAAAATTCAATTATATTAATATTATACAAACACTTAATTACTTGGGCATGTTAATTTGAATTTTCATATAAATAGGTGAAAATGGGTGTTAGAAAACAAAATTTAATATAACAGAGTATATCCAATTTCATGAATTGATGAAGTTGAGACATCAGGCTGATTGCAGTTGGAGTTAAGCATCTTCCATGGAGACTTATTGCAGATGGAGTACCTTTCAATTAGGAAATTTACAAATAATTTCATCCACGATAAATGGCAAGTTTTATGGACCCTTGCTTGTGGTTTGAATTGAGTCTTTAGTATCTGTCTTTTCTGGTTCTTGTTCTTTTTCTTACAGTTATTAATTGGTCAGCAAGTTGTGCAAGCAACATTTGACAAGGTTAATTTGATGAGAAAATTAAGGAAAGGATCAATAGTAAAAGAAAATATTGATGATGAAAGTGAAAGAAGTCCATAAACATTATCAATTTGTCTCATGACAAAGAAGACTAAAATAACCCGAGTTTAACTAAATTAATTTATACAACTACTTTTGAGATAGCATTTATTATATTTGAAATTTAAATTCTAATATTTATAATCTTTTTTTCTCATTTCAGACTGCGGCCTATCGTTTGAAACCGTACATCGATCTTCTATAAGATTCGGCATGTTGAGATTCACTAAAAAAAAATAACATTTCTACAAGGTAAATGTAGCTATCACTGATTGCCATTGGCTATCAATGTTTGGCTTTTAAAACTTGTTTGCACCTTAAAGGCATGGCCTGATTGATTAGGTCATAGTAAAGGCTTTTTTAAGTCTTCCTTTGATTTTTCTTTAGTTTGTTCATTGTACCTTTGATCTACAAACCATTATCTATTGTCTTATTTCAGCCAAGTCATGAGATGGTTGTTGGGTTACTATATCATGATGACTTTGGATGTGAGGGCTGCATAAACTCATTCAACTGAGGAAGAAATTTATTTATTATTTTAATACAAAATTTATTTTAGTGTATATATATATATATATGTATATTATATATATATATATATTACTATTGGTAGTAAATTAACAGAACATGTGAAAAATAGTTCTTGAACAAAATCAGTTTCTTTTTGTTTATGCTTATTTATTAAACTTAATAAATAATTACGAATAATATTTCATAATTCATTAATTAAACGAATAGATTATAAAGATAGTACAATTCGTACATATTTCATTGGTTTGTGTAAACAAAGAAAACATTCAACGAATAATTCATGAACAAATTTAATTTATGTTCGTTTATTAAATTTAACAAACGATCATAGATAATATTCCAAGGTTCATTAATAAAAGAAATAAATCATTAACATAACAAAATTTGTTCATATTCGATTCCTTTACACCCTAACTTCTACCCTAGATAATATGATTTAAATGACATCAAAAGAGTTCATCACAATTCCGTACAAAAGAGACAAGCATGTGTAATTAAATTTTTTTGGTATTTGAAATTACAAAACAGCTCTCGTTTGCATGTATATGATTTAACTTCCAACCCAGAGGGCAAGTTAATTTCAGTTTAATTAGCATATGATCAGTGCTGAGGCTGATAGCATCATACATGACCATAAATTCCATTGAAGTAATTATGATTTTCCTGATTTTCCTTTAATTGACTATTACATTTTACATTTATTTAAGAGGGTTTAGGAAAAAAAACTTGTCAAACATAGCTAAAACCACAAAAAGGAAAAAAAAATCATAGTTGGACATGATAAAGAAAACCTCTTAACGCTGCATTACTTTATAATTTAATTCTAATGAGTTGCATAAGTTTTCTGAAATGAATCACATCATCACTAATGCTCACAACTGTATTATGAGATGACATTCAATAAATTTAAAATTTAAATTTTAATATTTATAATTTCTTTCTCGAAACTATGATTTTTATGAACGAAAAAAAATTTTCAAAATACATTTATTATCCAAAATTCGTAAGAGGGCATAGAAATTGGGGATACCATAACTAGATAATGTCTATCACATGATGAGACAAAGTGTTGTTTGGTATGGATCCTGAACCAGCACTTCAGGAATGAAATGCTGAGGATAGTGAACAAAATAACTTGGATTTTGTTCAGCCTTTTTCTCATCTTTTTTCTCTTCGATACTCAGTATGGTAGCATTGTGCAGCTTCTTTCTTAGCGAACAAGTCAACTTAACCGAATCAACTTCTTCTCCAATCACCACCAGCTCATCCTTTTCTGCCCCTTGTATTGCTACCTCATTCACACCTGCTCGTGGTTAAAGCCAAGCTAGAAACTAAAGATCACTTTATTTTCATAAAATAGAAAAAAATTATGTTTGTCTAAATTATAGTCAAATATTTAATTAGATATCTGAATTTTAAAAATATCTAATGCGATACTTACTGATGTGGTACTTGAAAGACTATTTATCTATCACGTATCATCATTTAGAGCTAAACATGTTAGGAAAGTACCATATTAATTAAAAAGATTCATGATTCATATATTACATTAGAGATTTTAAAATTTTAGTTATCACAATGAATATTTTACTACAGTTTAAGAACGGTAACATTAATCCTAAAAAAATATTTGAACATGGCTCACAGAAAATATTAAAAAAAGTTGGAATTCGACGCCAACCATGTGTTGCAGCAGCTATCTTCAAAGCCTTTGTCCGACATTTCTGACAGTGCATTTGCACCTTGAGAACCATCTTTTGCAGCATTTTAATTACACAGAAATCATATCAATATTCTAACAATCTTATATGTTCTCTTACAGCTAGAAAAATCTGTGAGAAAAAAGAATGTGATAATTTCTAGGATAAAAGAAGCTCACCTTCTTCATATCTGAATATCAGTAGATCTAAGAAACTAAAGCAGCTTTTGACGAGAGACTTGTTGGATATGGAACTCTTAGAATGAAGAAAAAAGGAGGACACCAAATCTACTTATATAGGGAAATTAGTGGGGATTTTTTTAATGTTTGTTTTGATTTGGCCAAGTCTTCTATTGTCTACATATTAGTGAGATTAAATTTAATAATTCGTATATTCGTATCATATTTATTTCGTATTAAATATATGTAAAATACGAAAATTATCATATCACAACTCGTGTTGACACGTTAAAGATGAAACACATTTTATATATTTTGTTAAACCCATATGTGATTTTTGGTAAAATTTTAAATTATACCATTTTGTATTTCTGTCGTATCTTTTTTATATAATATCATTATATTGTATTTAAAATTATCACATCTAAATGAGATAAAATATAACTTGTTTGACAATCTGAACCACTCAGTCATCTCTAACCCTATGATAGAAACACAAAAAAATTTTATTGGAGCGTATTTATCAGTGGTTATTGTTTTAATAAGACCTTGACTCATCAATCCAATTACAAAGATTGGATTATTATGACAAGTTGATATCATAAATTCGTTTGTTTTCCTCATTTCATTGTTTCAACGGAAAATTGTTCCATATATTTTTCAAAGATTGGATTATTATGACAAGTTGATATCATAAATTCGTTTATTTGCCTCATTTCATTGTCTCAATGGAAAATTATTCCATATATTTTTCACAATTAATGTTGGACTTTTCAAGCGTATAAGAAGGGACGTCTTACAATTCTTTGCCATAAGAAAGAATTCGTTACTTTGTTTACCACGGGAAGTCGCTTTCACTTCGAAATGATTTTTTTGTTCCTTCCAGCTAACGAGTCAATCATATCCCTATGAAATTCCATGTAAATAAGACATAGTGTGTGTGTATATATATATATGCTTTGTGCTTTGGCAAATAAAGGATCTGGTTTCAGATATGAATCATGAAGGCAACTAGCTTAAATTTTACAGTGATTGAATCAGATTCGACATTCATATCATGTTTATTTTGTCTCAAATATGTATAAAATACAAAACTTGTCATATCACGGTTTTTATCAATACATCAAACACAAAAAATATATATATTTTATCAAACCCATATATGATTTTTAAAAAAAAAATTTTAAATTATGTCATTTTCATAATTTTTTATATATTTTTTGATAATATCATCATATCGTATTTAAAATTATTAGGTTTAATCCAAACTGCATACGCAATTTTACAAATCTAAAGTCTAGATGATGTGTTATATATGTTCATTTTCCAGTTGATAAGAACATATTTGATTACATGTTTTTAGAAAAAAGAAAAAAAAAGTTCCTTTTAACCCAAAGAAAAAGGAAAGGGAAAAAGAAATGTCAAATTAATACATTGAAATTTCAACTTAATTGGCTTACTGGATGTTGAAACTCATTTGTAGAAACATTCAATCTTGTATGCTTAAAAAAAATATTTGTGTACCCAAAAAGAAGGTAGTATGTAATTGGATAAAACTTATAGGAAGTTTCATAGGTAGAGTTTATGAAATTCTTTATTAAAAATAAATAAATAAAAAATTTAATAAAAAATTTAATAAAAAATTTGAACTATTGAATTGATAGAGTTTAATGTGAAGATCATTAATATGTAAAAAAAAAATAAAAATATTCTTTATAATTCAAACTTGATCAATATTTATTTAACAATATAAATTCTGTCAATATTTTTATTAAAAATATTTATTTAATAAATATATCAAAATTAATTAAAAATTTTTCAAAATTTACACGTTTGATCTATGTGATGAAAATTTTTAATCTATCAATTTTGATTTTCAATTTTAATTTTTATTTATTCATGTTTAATAAAAAAAACTTCACAAATTCTACTTGTGAAACTTCATGTAAAATTTTTTGGTATGTAATTTAGATTCATTCATCTCAAAAGTATTGCCCATAAGTGGAAGCCAACTCAAACTGTCACATGCTCCATGCATTACAATGGTCGACTCCACATCAAACCTGACAGGCTGGCTGGAGGTAAAGGCATAAAAAGCACCAGGTAAAGGTTTGAAGGGGATCTCATTCAACCGGCTCTATATCTTTCTTCTCTATTATTTATTCTTTTTTTGATATGCCTACTGATTTGAATGTCGGAATGTGCCACTAAATTATAACTTCAACATTCCTTGACCGTCTTTTTTAACAGATCAAATAAATCCATTAGGCTTGTGTCTAGCAATTTCCATTCTCGCCAATCCAAAAATACCTCAATAGATTTCAAAATATTGGTAGGTAAAATAGGATAGGTTGGTTGAACTTAAAAATTCCTTTATTGAATAAGGAAACAAACCAATTGAATTGGATTCAATTGGATGGTACAAACGAAATCAAGTGCTAATCCACATTTCTTATTGAATTAATCGATCAATTTGCTGTCGATAAATTTTTTTTATTAAAAAATTTTCAAAAGAAAATTGACATATATTACTTTATTTTATTATGAGAATAAATCTTATTACTTCTATTCCCAGAGTTTCCATGCTTGAAAAAGAAAATTTGAGAAATATTTATCAAATCATCGGTCCAGTACTGGATGTAGCCTTTTCTCTGGACAAGATGTCTAATAATTACAACGCTACGGTAGTTAAGGATCAAGATACCATCGGTCAACAAATTAATGTAACTTGTGAGGTACAACATCTATTAGGAACAATCAAGCGCATTTCAAGAATTTTGTTGGATTTATGACTCTGGTGAAGGCTACTTTTAATGTTCATTGTCAAGGTAAGTTACAATTTTACGAATTTGATCATTCATTTTGTAGGCCTTCTTCGTGGAGTCAGGGGCAAGACCATATCAAAGTCCTTGTTTAACAACTGCATTCCCAGTTCTTATTTATAAACTCGAATTCTCAAGTCTTCCCCTTAATCAACAGGTTCGGTCAATAAAGAGAGAGGATGCTTTATCATTTGATTGTTCAATTCAGTTACAAATTCTCCCTGGTACTGGAAAGTTGGTGTTAAATCCTTCAAAATTCCAAGTTTGTGGGGCTAATGCTATCATTAGAAATATTTTTTAAGTTATTCAAGGAGGTCCTTACAAAAAACCTTTGCATTTTTTATTTTATCTATATGGCAGGAATTCATGAGCTATGGAAATTGAACCTTGGATTTACTTGGGGTTTGGATCCCAAATTAAGCACCATTTCAAAAGTTTTCTTTCACTACAGTGTTTTGGAATGCCAAATATGTTACTTGATGAACAAAACCATTCCTGGAAAATGCTGGAAATTTTTATTCTCTTTTCACTCTAGATATAAATGTAATTGAAAATTCAGGGTTCATTTGGAATCATAAAACGACAAAATTTGAGTCCTTCGGACCTGAGATTTGTATATTTATATCATATAAAATATTAAAATTCGTATATTCATAATGTGTCTTATACGAAAATTACGTTTCATATTTTGTATCGGTACGAAAATATAAAATATATTTTTTTATTTTGTTAAATCTAAATATAGTTATTACTAAAATTTTAAGCTGTGTCATCTTCATATCCTATATTTATATCATACTTGTGTCTTGTTATCATATCGAGTTTTAGATTATCAGGTTAGTCCCACCATGCTGCCGAATGAACTTAACAACCAAAGGCTAATGATTACGGCTAACCTATATGCTCAATTTGTCAAATTATTTAATTATGTAGGGAAACCATGAACAGATACCTTCCTAAACAAATTTTAACTCATCAAATTTCATAACATAGACATAATAGGCATAATTAAGGAGGTAAGCAAATATCAACTCTAAAACCCTGTTACTTTTCAGACAACAGATCAGATAATGAAGCTACAAGACAAGAATGCTTCTGAAACATGAAAGTACAACATTGTCCAACAGGGAAACTGGCATTGCATCTAATTCCATGTCCTCTCTTGTTTTGATACCCTGGATAGTCCCATTTCGAAAATGGTTCTTGATTGAGCAAGCCTAATCCAATATCATTTGTCAGCTTCTCTATCCCCCACATAGTGAATGGATGAACAGTTTTGTGGGATATGTGAACTTCTCCATTGTCTGTCAACATGTCATCTGCATTCCCCAGGAAACCTTCACCACATTTTTGTGAAGCCTAAAAACAACATTAAACAATATTTCATTCCAAAGGCGGATCCATGGAGAAAAAAAAATTTAAGAAAATTTTTTTCATGAACTCCCCCAATATTTTTTTCTAGACACCTTTCGATCGATAAAATTAGTAAATTTGTAGGTAATTATATATATATATATATATATATTATAAGTGGACACATTCAAAAAAAAAATCTTGGATCGACCATTGTTTGTTGAGCAGCTTCATGAGTTGTAATGTTCACAAGGCATCTTACTCAATTTGATGAGTACTGTGTTCCCCATGGAAAAAGCCGGCATGAGGAAAGTTGAAGACTGTCCTGTCGAATGAGTCCAATTTGAGGAAAGCATGTTGGCTCATGGTATTGACATTTACTTCATGCATAATTGTGCATCCAAGCTCCTCTAGTTCTTTCAAGTTTGCCATTGCTCCTGAGTACTTTTGCATTAACATCTCTATGATTTTCAAAAGATTCAATTAGGAAACATCTATTATTATTATGAACCAAAATTTAGCTCAATTCAATCGTATAGCTATACTTAAGAAATGAAATTTAGCATGTCTGAAATTCAAATCTCAATATTTGCAAACCTTTCTCCAATCCTAGGCTGCGGTATATTTTGTAAAAAGAAACTGTAAACAAGATACACACCTCTTGAATCAAGAGAAGTGGCCACCATATTGGCAGCAGAACCAAAAGCTCTGCCTAAGCAAGCACCAAAAGAGAAAGCACCCTCACCCACCAGCAGTATTTTATGACTGCTACTATAATGCTTTATCCATTTTTCTCCTTCATTACTCTCTCAATTAACCATTTCCATTTTATTTTCCATAAATTCCATCCCATTTGTTTCTGCATATATAAGAAATTATAGCCCTTCCTGGCTCTTCAATATCCTCTCATTGAATAATGCTTTCAAAAAGCAACCCCTTAGTTTTTCGTGAATTAATTAATTTTTCCAATTAAACTGATCATAATTAGATGCTTCATTTTCGTGATTCATGTTTCCAATTACCTTGATGGACTCATCAGAAGAGACGAAGCAGTCGGCAGCCTTCCATGTTTCCAAAGTAACATGCATGACATAGACATCATAAATAAAAACTTCTTTATTTACATGACTTATTGGAAATACGATCTTCGGAAACTGAATTTATATGTGACTAGTTTTTATATATATCTCAACATATCGTGAAACTAATAAAATCAATTAGGTTGAAATGTAGATTAAACTTATTTGCATCCAGGGTGTGGTTCAATGGCAAGGACGAGTTTGCAAGTGCACTGCATTAGTGCATGATCCAGGTTCGATTTCTGCATGGGAATCCCTGATTTAACTGGGAGCTATTGCGGTGGGATATTGTGCTAGTTTTCGGAGTTGGCAAGAAAGGGTGGATCTAAAGTATTTTGTCTAATACCATTATTGATACACACATACTCATAAGTTACTTGGTTTTGGATTATTTATTGTCGAATCGAGCTTGAACTTAAGTAATTTAATTTATCAAGGGCACCGGCTGCGTTAAGTAGCTTCTAGACTTAATCAAATTTTTATATTTTAATATATATTCTAATTATTTTAATTAAAAAATTATTATTTTATTCTCATATATATTAATATAAGCTCAAACTCAAGTTCAAACGTAATTAATGAAGTTTGAAGTCAAGTATGAGAATAAAGTTTTTAATTTTTAATTTGATAAATAAGCTTAATTGAATAAGTTTAAATAATTTAATTTTTATCTCAAGCCAAAATTAAACTTAAAAATTAAAATTCGATCAAACTTAAACAAAGTTTAAAGCAATAAATTTAGAGTCAAGCTCAAATTTTTCATTGTTTCGATTAGACTCAGTTCGAGTACACTTCTAACATTGCTTTCTAAGTCTCTATCATAAAAAAAAAAACTCAATATATATTATATATTTTTCATATTAAAAACATATTAATAAAAATTTCAAATTTCATATCTATGCGTTATTTTAAATTTCATTACAAAATAAAATTTTAACAAAATTTATTTATTTAAAAGTTGTGATAATTAAACTCAAGTTGTAACAAGTTTTAAAATGCAAATTACTTTTATCAATTATTGTAAGTATTTGTTATATTAATTATTGTAATTATTTTATTATTTTTTATTAGTAAATTGTGTCAACACTTTGACAAGAAAATGGATCTCTCTTAAAACAAAATTTAAGACCTAATAAAGTTTAATGATCTGTCAGCGCAGTCCTAATATAAATTAATTTCTAATCAATTTTAATTATCTTAATAATCATTAATTTATTCGTTTTTAAATTATAGATTATTATAATAATGTTTCATCTGAAATTGTGAAACATTGTATATATCATCATTTCTTCGATATAATTTTTTAATTTAAAAAATTCTACAAACTCTTTGTTGAGAATATTGACTCAAATCTCATAAGAGATTTGTTTGAGATTTATGTGAGATTTGTTAGATATTGTTTGATGGACAAGAAGACTTGCAAAAGAAGAATTCCAAGAGAAAGATGATTCTTAATAGGTAAGTTTGATTTGCAAGAGAAGAATTCTAAAAAGAAAGGGATTCTTAATAGGCAAGTTTGACTTACAGAAGAAGAATTCTAAGAGGAAAGAGATTCTTAATGGGCAAGTTTGTATGGTTATAAATAGGTGAAGTCTCTACAGGGTTTAGTATGAGAAAAAAATGTAAGAGAGTTGTAGGGTTTTGTGGGATAGACACCCCATAGGAGTATTGGGGCTCTACGTCTTATGTGTATGTTTGTTTGTGAGTGGATTAGAGGAGATTGAGAGGGTCCACATAAGTATGATGTATAGGAATATATGGGTATGTGTTTGATTGTGTTGAAAATGTGCACAAGGGTTTGGGTTTGTGTTTGTTTAGGTAAAGAATACTTCATAGGACTAAAAGAGATTGAGAGTATCTTATGAGTATTGATTATTGAGTGGGGTTGATGATATGATGTATGTTTGTTGTCTCTTGTGTGTTTGATTTATTGTTTGATTTCGCTTCCGCTGATGTGATTGGATTGGAGACTTTTAGCCAACACTCTTGACGTTGTCATCCAATAAAAATTTGTCTATCTCGCAAAAGTTTTATATTTATATTACACTTAAAAATTAGTATTTATTTTTTAACATTTCATTCATTATCATTTGTATTAATTAAAATTTAATTTTTTTAACTTTTTGTTAAATTCTTCATGCTTTTTAATTAACGAATTATATTAATACATTTATAATTAATTTCTACTATTTATTATGCGTATCAAATTAATATTTATATATTTTTATTTTAGTTTTTAATTTTTAAAAATAATAAATTTAAAATACACAACATAATTTTTTTTATGTAAGTCAATATTTGGTACAAAATTCAATAAATTTTTTAAACACTACGACAATGACTTATATATGGGTATGGCCTTAGATGAGATTGGAAAATATAAAAGAAAAATTAAATTTTATTGAATTAAATTAAACCTAACTTGTCTAAAGTATTCATTCTTGTGAGTATGGTAAGTCAATAAATTAAATTAAAACAATATTGTTGAAGTTATAAGAAAATTCATGTCACGTAAGCGAATGACAAATCAAAATAAAGGGAAATTTGGCTTATGTCATGTAATATATTGAAAATTGAATTTACTTATTCTAGGTCAATACAGCAAGCAACTTGTAATTTGAATATATAATTAATTAAGCATTTTGCATCATATAGATTTTAATATTCCAGCAACAGTGGTATGCATATATATATATATATATAAATGATTCACTTAAATTCCAATAAATTTTACACTTTTTTATACCCTTCAATCAAAATAAAAATATTATTTTAATTTAAAATAATTATGAATTTAATTTTGATTCAAATATCAAAAAACGCATAAAATTTATATGGATGTAAGTGATTTCATATATTTATATATATATGTATATGTATATGTATGTATATGTATGATTGATATGCAAAATTTAGTCATTTTTAAGTCTTCCAATCATCAATCAACTTGGTTTGCTTAGTCTTTGGTGGAACAGTACTTATAATTTTGTAACCATTCCCTAATTAACTGCCTGACTTGTTCTAATTATATGTTCATCTTATCGTGAGATAGGGACTTATCGATATGTTTATGGGGTCGTTGAGTTCAACCTTTCATGTAGATACAATAATTTGTGTATATATTTATATTGTATTTCATGTTAAATTTAATATAAAGTATAATATCAATAACTAAAATACGAACATGACATAAATTATTAAATACATTAAAAAATTTTAAATATAAATATGATATGTTTATTATACGTTTTACATATAAAATAATATGACTAATATGTTTAAAATTAATCCATTTAACATGATATAAGTAACACAATTAAATATGATTACACAAGATTAACACGAATAGCACAACGATTAACCTATTTAAAACAAAATTAATATTATTCAAATTTTATATGACATAACACAATTAATACAATTATTAATTTATTCAAGAAAACCAAAATTTGCTTTCTATTAATATTAACATTAAACACAAAATGTTAACATAATAAAAAATAGATGTCATAATTAAAAGTTTAAAATAATTTTTAGGGTTTGTATATTATAAAAAAATTAAATGAGTTTTATAAATGTGTTAAATGTGTAATATTATACGTGTAAATATGGTAATATGAAAAGATATGATTATTTAATTATGTCGTAAACTTGTCATTTACACATGTCAACATGATAACATAATTAAGATATGATTAAATGTATTAATTATTCATATTTTATACGAAATACGATACAAAAAGCATTATATTTTAGCCGTGCAACATAATTAAGATACAAAATATGATTACATTAAATACATATACAATTTATTTTAATTATGTTATTTTTTTATCGTATCATTGTATCATAATTAAAATTATCAAGTCTAATTTAATGTACCTTTACATTGGAATATACTGTAAAATGGTATTAATTTCTTCTTGTTTTCTTTCTTTCTTTTTTTTTTTTCAATCAAGTATAGCACATCTTAAAAGTGCCTCTTCAGATCTGCAGTAACAAAAACCAAACTGAACTCAGTCGAGAGTAGAAAGTTGCAGGAGTGGATCCACCTTTTAAAAAATTAGAAAATAAAATAATTCGAAGCAAAAAAATTTTCTGAACACTTTTTTCATTAACAAAATTGATAATATATATATATATATATATTATAAATAAATACCTTCGGAATAAAAATATGGATCTGCCACTGGAAAGATGGCACTAGTGTTCAACTAAAAATGAAGCCAGACAGAAAAGAAAGTACTGAAATATTGTCATCTGACGAAGTGCATTAATCTTAAAATGCCTATGATCAGTATCACAAGATGGAACAGATAGTTGGGTTTGGATCATAAACCACTCCATGGTGTAAGGTACAGTGTGGACATTGACAATAACTTGATGAATAGAATTTGCATAGTTCTGACTTTTTCTCCTTATCATCATATTTTCCTTTGTCTTCTACCACTCTGATTATATCGGCATACCCAAGCTTTTTCTTGAGTGAACAGGTCAACTTTGCTGAATCAATTCCTTCTCCAGTCACCACAACCTGATCTTTGTCTTTCCCTGCTATCCTCACTGAGCTTACACCTGTCAGAGAGAAGAAGAACATTCAACAAGATCATGAGTTTTTGATAAATTTGTTCAAAGGATATGCAATATGTTTACCATTTGCTTCTGCAGCGATCGTCATGGCCTTGACTCTGCATTTGTCACAATGCATTTGCACCTTGATAACTATCTTTTGCTGCAACAAATTGGTCAAGGTGGATTAGTTTCAGTGTCAAATCGAAAGCTTCAACGCCCAATTCGAAATGTAAAAAACAGGAAAAAAAATTGGAACCGAGAGTGCAACTCGATTAATTTATGTAATCACTCTTAAAAGTTGACATCGAACAGGTTTCAGACTCAAATTCTAACATCTGCAACCCTTTTTCTTTATCTCCAAGCCGAGCTTCTTTTGTATAAAAAAAAAGGCTTACCTTCATGATCTAGAGCAAGTACGTATGTATCGTACAAAAGACTGCTTTTCTTAAACAATCAATGGAATAGAAGTTTATGTACAAAAGAGCGGCATGTATGTCTAATTATATAGGGGAGGCCTTGACTGTTTCAGGAGATACATAGTTGGCAAGCCAAAATTATTATTAGTATAGAGAGACCTCAAGCTTACCTCAAACCAGTTGATTAATTTTAGTCAACACCAAAACCGCTGCTTAATTTACTGACCTAGTCAGTTCCAACCAGTTTCTCAATACTGCTGCCATAGCCTTTTCTTTTTTTTACTAAATACTTGTGAATGTTCTTCCATTTTGTTCTATTAATTATGATTGAAAGTTCCATTTACCGCAGAACGGCAAGTATGATTCACGGTTGTATGCTGCGTATTATATCTTGATCGTCTGGTTATCAACTTGATTGTTAAATTAACAACCGTTGACCGTCACATGGACGATCATTTTAACTGGTCGACACCTAACCAGTATTAGATAAATCACCGACTACGTTAGCACAAATTTATTATAAAATGAAAGGTCACTATATCATTTTGAATCCTTCATTATCAATCTCACTCTCTTACATATTACTTATCTTCTCCTCTTTCTCTCTACCTCCTCTCATCTATTATGATTTACTTACTTAAGCATCTCAAAGTCCTACCTTTGACGTTTTCTGATCATTCTTTTTATTACATGTCACTCCGACTTTCGAATCAATCATCAAATCTTCCCAATAAATCACCCGTCACCAAACCCAAAAAACCATCGGACACTGGTGATATATTTGGTTGTATTAATTTAATGCACTGGGTATTGGAATAGCAGACTACATAAAGAGAAAGAGAAAAAGAGATATTATGGGATCACCAGAAGATCATAGGAGAGATAAATGCATTCATTAGTTGAAGCAGCAAGAAAGAGTAGACAGAGGGAGTAGGTCATTTTATGGTCAACAAATCATCGAAGAGAGGCAAGAATTTTTTTTTTTTTTCATCTAGGCTAAGTTATTCCAATTGTGGGATAATTTAGTAAGATGAAAGTAAAAGAGATAGTAGTCTTATTTTTTAAAAACTAATATAATTAAATAATCAAATTCGCACACAGTTAGAAACAGATCTTTGCATGGATTTTATCTGGTGAAATGTCAAAATTAAATATGATGTAATCAAGCCACAAACTTCCAATTTCCATTCAATCGACCACAACAGAAACAGAAATAGTTTGTGCCACTGAACTTGATAAATTTTTTACTTGAGAGCTTGATGAGTCATGCGTGAGAATATCGAAAACAAAACAAAACACAGAAATTGAGAGCCTGGTGTGGAACAACATATAATTATAAAAATTGAAAAGCAAATCTATTTCTGTTCAACATAATTTAATCACACTGAAGTTTAGGCATAGTAGAAAAACATCAACATAAAATAATTCATTTTGATTAAAAATCTCACGATTTTATATCACAAAAGTTACGTCAAAATTATAAATTTAAATTTGTATATTATCATATTATATTCTTACAATTTTTTGACATGGGATCGAAGTCATTACAAATTAAGCACATCAGGGTTTTGAGACTGCGGCCCTGCCTTTGCCTTTGCGTTGCATCCAATTCCAAGTTTCATATTCCCTGGCATGTAACCAGTGAGGCTACAGAATGAATTCAGAATGAATTTTTCAGTTTTTTTTCTTTGATTATCTGAGTATTAAGAGAGGAATTTCAATAAAAAAAAAAATGTAGCTGGGGTTTGATATGCTAATGATGGATATTCAATATTATTTTCTTTTCCCAGTGTAATGTAATTCTCCACCAGTTAACATCTTGTTGATGAGCTAATGATGTCTTCACCTGTATAAACAAAGCACTTATAATCTTAAGGTAGCTGAAGAATTTTTTGGGTTTGCTTGAGATAGTGGACTCATTGCAGGTTGACCAGCTCTCTAAGATTTTTGTTGGAATATTGATAGGGGACCAATGGATTGAAACCCATTAGTATATAGACATAGGCATTATTCAATTCTTTAAGTTAATATAGAATTTTATTCCTAATAGAATTTCATTAACTGCTATAAGAGGCTTTTTCCCCGTAATATTAAGATATGTTTTATAAAGAGTTAATTACACTTTTGATACTTAAATTTTAGGAAATATATTAATTAGTATTTAAAAGAATAAAATATATAATTTGTACCCTAAACTTTTAAATGATGTATCATTTAAACCCAAATCCTAATATTATTAATTTAACTCCTCTATATGGTATTCAATCAATACAATTTTATTATATATATGTTATTTGTTAAAGAAAAGTATTAAATATTTTATAAAAACTTTCAATGGAATGTCACATGATAAAAAAAATGATTTATCAAATTTAAACAATTTTTACGGTTTAGGTAAACAATATATACTTTTAATTTATATTGAAAAAATGTTTATATTATATGCAGTAAATACATAACTTGAATATATTTATCAAATAACACATATATAAATTAATATAATTAATAGGATTAGAGTTTCGGTTAATATAATATATAATTTGAAAGTCTAAAATACAAATTATATATTTTATTTTTTTAAGTACAAATTTATACATTTTCTCAAAACTCCAATATCAAAATTATAATTAATTCTTATATAAATAGGCACATATACTTGTAAAAATTAATAAGAAGCATTAATCCCAATTAATTTAATAAAAAGTTCTCTCTCCTAATTTTTTTTCTTACCTAAATTTTGGGTATTCACCTAAAATTCTAAGATTTGATTGTGAACTATAACCTGAAAATGCACACCCTTTTTCCTTTAAGATCAAGATATTTAATTTTTTCTGTTCAAATTGAGATTAGTCAATTTGAATGTATAGAAAATTCCTCTTGCTTTAAGCTTAACACAAATGATATCTTTCGTTATAATTACAACATCTTGAGCTCTGAACTTCTTATTTTTCCTTGTAATCATCATTGTGGAAATACCTTAAAATAGTAACATAATGTATGGATTTAATATCTTCAGAGGTTTAAAGTGCATAAACTTAATTATGGCTTTTAACAAGGAATTACAACCAGGTGAATCTACTTACTATCTATGTTCTCTTTTAACTCTCTAAGTCTTATCTTTTGCTTTTCTTTGAGGGTGTAAATGAACTGAATATGAACTAATTTTATTATATTCCTAATTTATTCATTTGATTAACGAGTTCAAAATATTATTTTTTATTATTTGTTAAATTTAATAAATAAATAAAAATCTAACTTGCTCACAAATTGTTTGTCCATTTTGGATCTAGTTATTTAATTAACGCATATTGAAATGTTGTACGACACCGTTTGTTAAATTCATTAAATAAATATAAGCAAACAAAAATCAAACTTACTTATAAACTATTCATCCCTTCTGTTTACAACCCTACTTTTTTGTTTGCGAACTTTTGTTTGATTAGAGTACTTCTTGAGATTATAAGTTGAGTAATTGGTTAAAGATATATGTATTAATATGGTAGCAGAATTGGTCTCTGACCTTCTTTATCCAAAGCAAACAGAGAGGGTAGAAAGAAGAATAATTAGTACAAGTCTTTGTATTTACAATGTAAGCTAAGGAGTCCAAAAAAAGTTTTCGAACCAAAATTTAATAATTATTTAACATTTTATTATTTTATTGCAATCAATTAAATTTGATTTTTTTATTATATCAATTCGGTTCAACTCAATTATTTCATCTACAGTGATATTAAGGACAAAAATGCAAACTACTTTGCTGTGCCTTTGGGCTATCAGAACCTGGAGTGACCATGTTAGGCTTCAAAAGGGTACCCTCAACCTCAAGTAGAACATGGTGATCATTCAGCACCTTATAAACTGCTGCAAGCACAGTTTCAGTGACAGCAGCACATTTTTTAATATCATTAGGCCCATCTGTTAGCACCTCAGGCTCAACAATAGGAACGAGGCCATTTTCCTGACAAATGATTGCATAACGAGCCAAGCCCTGTGCATTCTGCTGGATAGACAATTCAGATGGCTCATTGGGACCAATCTTGAGCACGGCACGCCACTTTGCGAAACGAGCACCAGCTTTATAGTACTGCTGGCATCGTGCTTCGAGGAGTCAAACCCTTTAGTTGTGGTCTCGCCATTGGTGCCAGCCATATCAACAGTAACCTTATCAACCTTGATTCCTGGAATGGTATCGTGTTCTTGAAGGACCTCAACAAAAGATTTTCCATCAGATGTTTTCTGATAGTGTATCCTCAAGGACAGAGCATTTGGAGAGGTGAAACGGAGCTCACGGAGGGCTTGGCGGTTGCACTCGACATTTTCAACGTTAATGCTTGCTAGACGCTTTCCAATGGTGCCTGTGCTCTCGTCCGCTGCCAAAATACCTTTCCCTGGCGTGGCAATGTACTTGGCGTACTTGATCAGCTCCTCTGGAGAAAAAGAGAGGCACTTAGTAAAGCTAGGATTAACATTCAAGCTGAAAATTATAAGTTTCGTGGTTAAGTCCTTACGTCGGAGGGTTAAATATAAGATTACATGAAATCTAATATTTAGTGTTTCATAATATCACTTTAACAGAAATTCATTAGGTATAGATGAAGACAAGTGTAACAAACATGAAAAGATAACAAATAAGAACTTGAGTTCTGATATCATATTAAGTATTCAACTTAAAATTAATTCATAATGAATGGATTGACAGAATGATCCGATCTGAATATAAGGTGACAGGGGCCACCATGAAACCAGTTTTACTAGGATTGAATTTGTTCAAGGAAAGCTTGAGACAATCTGAAGGTGTTCCACATTTACATGTCAAGACAACTGAGAGAGAGTGGGGGAGGGAGAGATTTTACCTCATATTTCCCAACAAAAGCAGACATGGTTTAGGCTGGAGAGGAAGATAATGGATATGAGGAAAATTACAGGACGAAAGTACAAAAGCAAAGCCACAGGAGCACCACTCCTATATAGATTAGCTCGTATGAAATGGAATATACTAAAAGGAACCCATCACATGCAGTGCATTAACACGTGTCAAAAGAATATCCCATCGAAAATTATCATCCTCGGATAATGAGTGATCACCTTCGTGACCTAGTGGCAGTTAAATCTATGCTTTATCCCTCCTACAAATGTATCCTGTGGAATTGCAAACTGCTTGTTCCTCAGCCTGTTGTTTAGTTGGGGAATTGGAGGGAACGAGAGAAGGCAACTTAATTCCTCGGGCAGCCAGTTCTCTCTCTCTCTCTCTCTCAGCCACAAGCCCACAACCTTAACTATTGGTGCAAGGAGGGTGTAGTTGACTCGGATTTGAGAAGTTTGAGCACAACTTGAAATTTGTTATTTAAAAATTAATTTGAGCTTAATTGAATTTTAATTTTTTAATTTAAATTTAATTCGAAATAAAAAATTAATTATTTAAATTCACTTGATTAGTATTGTTTATAAAATTAAAAATAAATTCAATTCACATGCTCAACTTTAAACTTGATTATCCATATTGAAATTAAAATTTGAGTTCGAATTGATATATGTATATATATATGAATAAAATAATAATTTTTAATTAAAATAATTAATATATATTAAAATATAAAAATTTCGATTAAACTCATAAATTTTTGAGTCGAACATAAAAATATTAATTTAATAAATTGTTCACTAAAAATATTTATCTAACTCAAAAAATCAAGTTGATCAAGCTTGATTTTGACTTAATAATGACTAAATTAAATTCGAATTTTATTCAAATTAATCCCGAATAACTTGCAAACATAAGACATCGATTGCACCCCTAGGTGCAACTCTTGAGATGAACTTGACATATAAGGGGACAAAGAACATAGCAGTTATTGCCCTTATTAGTTGATTTTGGAATTCTCTGTCCGGTAAGGAAGATGGAAAGGATGCATAACAAGAATGATGTAGAATGAATTTCTTTATATTTAAGTGACATAATGGGGTTTCGAAATACACATATCGTGGGGAGGCTGCTAATGAATTTATGAAGTTCTGCCTGCAACTACTCCCCTCTAATACCATGAATGAAAAAGCAAAGTTGTTTTCTATGTGGTTGCAAGCAAGTTAGACCATTTTCAAGTATCATCATCAGATAATAGAGATATGTAAACGGCAACCCTGGTGTGACTCGAAAGATTTAGGAAAAAGAAAAAGTTGATTCAACAATGGGGCTGTAATCAAGTCAAAATTGTTTCAAACCAAGTGAAACTCAACATGACTAAAGCATGCTCAGTTTAATCCTCTAGCTCAACAGCAAATCGCCTGGAAGAAGATATGTGGGTTGAAAACTCAGCAGCTCCGGTTGAAGTATGGCACAGGGGTCATTACTTGCTGGTCATCATCATCAGTTCCAAAATATCGGTCTCCAAACTCACCCATACCAGGGACAACACGGAAATCTTCGTTTAAACCAATATCAATTTCAGACGTCACAATCTTTATTCTTGGGAAGGTTTTGCACACGACATGTACACCCTGAGGTGCCTGGCAAATCCAGTGACATGTTCATAAAGTAAGATGATACATAAATCTAAACAGAAATTATTCAAGAGAAGATGCTAATATACATAACAGATTGAAGCAACAATAACTTACAGATATGAGATTGAGAAATATGATGTTGGACTCTGGTACACCCTTTTTTATAAGCAATGAAATAGCTTGAACAGCTGAATTGCCTGTGGAATAGTTTGTAATATGGTAAAACCACAAGATTGTGACATTAGGTTAAATGAAAAATGTCCAAAACAAACTTCTATTTCTTAGACTATGTGAGTAGAAATCAACAAACAAGAAAAACTTATCGGTGTCCCTGATGGGATTATGTTCTAGGTTAGCACTTGTGGGGTGACTTGAGACTACGAAAAAAATTCATAGATTTTTCATGGAGCACATAAATACCAACTCCTACTGAGCACAAAAATGGTAAGCATTTGAACCAAATGACAGTCGAGAATGAAATGCTATGTAAAATGGTTAAACTGAAAAAACATGTATGCATAGCACAAGATGATTATCAACCATGAAAAGAAACGAACCTGTGCCTAGAATAGGATCCAGTAGCAGCACATGCCTTTGTGAGATGTCTTGCGGTAATTTTTCATAAATAAGCTAGTCAATCACCAAAGCATGAATGAAAGAGTGAGAAAGGAGGCAAACAAACACAATTTTTCATATGTGGAAGGTAGTTCAGTTACAAACCTGCTGACCATTGTCACCTTCCCTATGAATAAGAATCTTGCCAATCTTGATACCTTTGCAACATGCTCTCAAAGCATTCTCCATACTCTCACCACTAGCATTAGTTTCAAAAGGTCAGTAGCTAATGGTTTAAAATAATGTGCATGGCGTACATGTGCATATAGAGAAAGAGAGAGAGAGAGAAAGAGAGGTAATCATAGCAATTAGTTTATAACCATGATAGATTCAACTTGTATTGGAAAATCATTTGCACTCAACCACCTTTCCTATTAGTCTAGAGCTATAGGAAACATTTCTTTCAACTTACCACACCCAATTAACCACGGTAAACTACAGCAGTATTAGTTTTAAGTTCACATGTCTAAGGCATATTGGTAGTTTTTTCCACCCTTACAACATCACCACAATGTCATGAAATTTCCACCACCAAAGTCCCATTGACGCATCAATTTCTGACCATCACTATTATTTTGCTCTTCAGAAGCATTCCCACCTCCTTCCAATATTCTCAAGAAAGTTTTATATCATGAAAGCCATGGAATTATCGATCCAGTGCTGTAAGATTTGAGAGCAGAGTTGTACCTCCTAATAACAGAAACACCACATAGTCTCTTACAGAAATCCACACCTGTATATACAGACCCTGCATCCACAACACCAATGTTAATAATTTATGACTAGGTAGCATTGTATAAGCAAATGAAATTAAGAACCATGACAACTGAAAATATTACAAAACCAACTTGCAATCATCCACAATATGAACTCTATTAGAAAACTCAATTCCAGATAACATAACAAACAGATCATGTCAGAGAACAAATCTATACAACTAGATCTGAAATACACAACATTAATGAAGTGTAACAGAAAAACCACACTCAAAGTTCTGATAACCCAAATAATACTTTTATGATGCCCAGGACCAGACGAAGTAACATCAGCTTACCAGTTGGAGTGATCACCTGCTTTTCTGTAAATGGCAGATGTCCCAGCCCATGTTCAACAACCTGGAAATGATGATCTTAAATGAGTGAGAAACCTAAGGAAACTTTTAGATCATTACATTAACATGTGAAGAAAACAAGAAGACAAATTAATTGCATCTAAATCAAAATATACCAACCAAACGAATCAACCGATCAGCATAAAAAACAAAGTCATGTTTCGTTGTTTGAGAATCACGAATGAGGGTGTGCATGCCTCGTATCTGCATAAAAGAAAAAAAAAATTCTTTTAGGAAATGTATGTATTAGTACATCTAACACATAATTTAAATGTGAGAATTTGTCCTCTAAAAAAGGAAATATTGAATGAATTGATTGGAAATTATGGGATTTTGCGACTTCTTCCCCTTGTGAGTAAGATACTAATCGTAAGGAAAATGGAATTTCCACAATGACTGCAAATCCCACCGATATCATTTGAGAATATAAATTATTGTTGTGCCCAAAAAATGGATTTTGGTTGGAATCATTAGCAGAAATAATCAAATGATTCTGTTGATCCATTCGAATAATTAAAAACGTTTAGCTATTTGAAGCTCAATACAGGCAGAAAATTATTACACCCTTTGTAAAACAAAAATGTTATACCTGAAAAGTCGAATGAATGACATATAGGTTTGGGTAGATTTTACAGAGATCATGCTGGCCAAGCTTTGTCCTAATATGCTGCACAATCAGATCAACTGCTACATGATTATCTCCCCCACGGGGAATGATAATATCTGCATATTTCTTTGTTGGAAGTATAAAGTCATCGAAAGCAGGCTTCACAAATTTGGAATACTGCATTAAAAATTAATTGCATACTAATATCAGCTGAAAAGAAGCACCTCCAAAGAAAAGAAAGCTGAAACATTAGTAAATGAGAATAGAAAAGATCATAAATTATTGCCTCACAGATTTCTTCCATTGAGTAAACTTAACAAATCCAAGCTTTAGAACAACTGCAATATCTTTAAAGCTGGACACTTTGACAAGCTTAGGCAGTAATGCCCCAGTTCTATTGTTTAAAACAAAAAATAATCATGTCAATGTAAATAGTAAAGCAAGTAGACCTGATCAAGGACAGTATCAATATCTCTGCCCTTATCAACAGTATCACGCCTTATCCTTCTTGCTAGTCGTACATCAGCATCTGCACTGAAAATTTTTCAATGTGAAGCAACAAGCCAACTCAATGACACCAACAAAGCTACGCCAATGATATGTTCCCTAATATATGCAAGTTATTCACTAAAAGTTTTCAGCAATAAATAATAAGTTATGGATTGTTGTTTTCTTAGAAGTAAGTTTTATTGCATCCACATCAAAAATAGCATAGCCATCAAGACAGTTTAAGTGACGTATACTGATAAAATGCTGTACATCCAAACTAATATGCTCCCAGCTTTAGGGATCTACAGATCTCTGAAAAGAAGAATACTGATATTGGGGGGCAAGAAAACTCAGTCCTATATTACAGTCATTGTTATCAGAGTGCCACTTCATAGTTTATACCAAATAAACAAAATTCAGCCAACGATAAAATTTTATGCCAGATATATGCAGCATGCAAACAAATGTGATCAGCCAAAGAATAGAGATAACAGTTTAATTAAATAACCTGTATCAACAAATATTTTCATGTTCATCAACTCTCGGACACGATGGTCATGAAAAATGAGTATCCCTTCCAAAATTATAACATCTGAAGGATTAACCTGCAGAAAATTTTATGACAAAGAGAGTTTCTAAACATCCAAAAGCAATAAATATGAGGTGAAACTTCATTCACAGTTCCTTCGCTATAAAAAAAAAAAGTCGAAAAGGGCTGTGGAAAGACATGTCTACCATTTATAAGGAATTAAAAGACGTTAAGAGCTTGGACATTGTACACATACAACAGTTACTGAATTCTAAGTACTTAAGAAGGCAAAAGATATCAAAAATTGGTGTCATTGTGTACCATGTTGAAGATATTAATTTTGGGGAATGCTTGAACCAAAAAGTGCCCAAGTCCAAGAAAAAATAAATGTGGTTCCATGTCATATCAACATGCATTTTGAACATTGTGAGACTTACCCTTCTGGCTGGGAAAACATTACTTTTATAACTCTTGAAATCATAGTTTGGAATATCAACTGCTTGGCCATGCCTCAAATTCTCCATAGAATCTAATAATTTCTCAGTGTCAAAAGCATCTACAGAAAAGAACAATATTGCATCAATAAAATTCAAAGCAAACATAAACTGAAACCAGATGGTATGCACATAAAACAGCACATTTCCTAAAGACCAACTGATGAAGACACGCCCTTTGTCATTTGCTGATTAATAATACTTGGATGCTCTTAGAACATAATACTTCAAACTTTTTCACACATGCATGATATCAAATACTTAAAATTCAGAATAAGAAAACTAATTTCAGATAGTGCCCTCATTACCAAGACAATGCATAAAAAGCAATTAGTAAATAATTAAATAGAGATGAAAGAGAGATGGTCTGAGTTTCAGTCAATTTATAAGCACAGAAATTCAGCAAGTCATGGTGTTCTTGTTATTTTAGACTCTAACAGAAATATTCTCACCAGGATGATCAAAGTTGCATTCATGAACTCTTGCAAATTCCTCTTCAGAGAGATTGTGATAAAAGGAATCCTGGCACATTGTTTACATTAAAAAATTATCCAATAGGAGACCAATCATTTCTAGAATACAGAAAAAGAGAGCTAAAAAAGAGGTCAGATCAAAATTTTGAACAATCCCCTTCAGCAAATGATGTTCAAATGATAAAAGCCAACTCTATCTCCCTTTTCTTTATATGAATAATCACCAACAATTTTATAATCCACTGCATCCAGAGTTTATAATCCACTGCATCCAGAGCCAATTTAAGACAGGAAGAAACCAATAGTGGAAGAAAGCCAATGATCCATTCTCACCTTCATAGGTCAACAACAGAACTAACAGACTAAGTGAACCATTCAAAGACCCAAGTTTAAAATGGATTTAAGAATAAAATAAATTTCCAAACAGGTGATAGCAAGAACAGTCTTTCAAATTCATATCCTTTACAAAGCTTCAATTATTCGACTTTACAAAAAAATCATGCGAGTTACAAATTTACATTGAAGATTTTTCTATAAGTAACCTAACAAAATCTACATTTGGAACTCTAAAAAACTTACCTGATTAACTAATACAACACGCTGATCATGAAGTTGTTGAATAATCATATCGCAGACTGTAGTCTTACCAGATGCTGATCCCCCAGCAACTCCTGACCCATAAAATAATAGCCAAAGTTTGATAAAATGAAAATCAAAAAGCGAAAAAGCCCGTAATATAATTGAAAGAAACCAATGCAATAACCAAAGTAGTACCAAATAAGTATCAATTCAGTGCCTTTGCATAGTTTTTAAACTATAACCCAAACAAATTGAATAAGAGAACATCATACATAAGTATTATTAGAATAGCAAGGCTTGTGTCTCAAGCACAATGAAAAGAGGAGCCAATATGTGGTAGAATACTCTATGATGGCAACATTTTCTTCAAAAAAAAAAAGAGCTTGGATGTAGTTTTTCTCAGCTTTCTTATCCAGACTTATTCACCAACTACTTCTGATCATTATTGCATCCAAAAGACAGCGTGTGTAATAGCTCAACAACATTTGTCATGTTCATACTTACCAATAACAAAAGGTTGTTTATGCACATTTTCAGTAGCCGATGAGGTTGTAGCCTTCTCAATATTTCTTGACCCCAAACCATCCATATGGAAACCAGAAAAATGCACCCCAGATGAGGCCTCTATCATATCCTCAACTGATTTAGAACCCATATGCTAAGACCTACACATAAAATTTACACTTTAGGAAACAAACGTATGAGATCATAAAATAAGATAGAAGCATCCAACATGGGCTTCAGCTTGATTGAATCAAGTCTTGTTCGATTTTCTTTTCATTTCCAAGAAGAAAGAAAGCATTCATAGATGCAGAAATCCCCTCCATACAATACAACAACAACAGCAACAAACTAAGCCTTATATCCCATAACTCTGTAGAAATCCCCTCCATACAATCTTCAGAAGAAAGCAAAGTTATCCCCTTATTACCAATTCCCATAAAAATTCTCCCCTTTTTTTGATTTTACACAGGTCACCTTCGATCAATTTAAACAAACAAAAGATAAAACAATCACCCACATTGCAATCCCATTACAGAACATTCATTAAGAAGCAGAAGCTTTCTTTCTCCATTTTTCCACACAACCAAACATCATTAACTGATTGCTACAAACAAACACAACGAATCATATATTCAAGGAATTCCACTCAATCACAAACATTAAAACACAATCTCTCGTACAACAAAACAAAACAGAGCTGTAATCAACAGCATTCAAGTGAAAAAAAAAATTACCATAAAAACAGAGCCTTTAGCTCCCAATCATAACATAACAATTAATCCAATAATGTGAAGCTAAAATCCCTTCAAAATCACCAATGATCCCACCCATTAAAACCAAATCTAACAACTTCTGAAACATTTAAAAATACCCAGATCAAAAATAATACATCAAATACAAAAAAAAATCAATTTCAGTTTCAATTAAGCAAAGATTATTTATTTCCCAGATAACAAAATAAACACAAAAAGTTAAAAAAAAAAAAAAGATTAATTAGATATTAAATGATGATTATTGAATTAAATTTACCTGATTTAATGGATTATTAGAGAGGGAAAAAAATTAGCCTTATGGGGTAGAGACAGAGAGAGAGAGAGAGAGAGAGAGAGGCTGGTGGTACGGATAGGATTGATTTGGAGGTATTTATACCGTTTAAGAGTAAGAGAGACCTGCAGTCTATCCTTTGAATTACTTAGCATATTATTGGATTTGATTCGTGAAAATTATGAGTTTGAAAAAATTTATTATCATGATAATTTTTTTAATTATATAAATAATATGATTAGATAAAATATAACATAATAATATGATATAATTATAATAAAAATAAAAATATAATTAATATAATTTAAAATTTTTAATAATAATTATATATAAATTTAATAAAATAAAAATATATATTTCATATTTTTATATACACATAATTATTATATAAAATATGATATAAATATATAAATTTTAATATTTTATATGATATAAAAATATAAATTAATAGATTTAATAAAAATTATATATTTTAATTTATATTAATATAAAAATATAAAATATATTTTTTATTTTTAATAAATTTATATAATTTTTACTAAATTTTTAAATATATCACCTTCATATTTTTTATTATTTTTCGTCTTATCATTGCCCCATATTTTAAATTATCTTGTAATCTTAAGATATATTTTACAAAAAAAGAATTTATTTCGGTTTTATTTACTATAAAGCCATTCCATTGGATTTTTCTTTTAAGTCTTTTTCTCTTCAAAGGGATAATGATACGCAGAGTCACTAATTTCATATTTTTTATTTTTTTTAAATTAAAGAGATAAATGATGTGATGTATAAGGAAAAACTGTGATAGATATGTAGAAATAAGGACGAATAAACAATAAATATATTAATATTTTGCTAGGTACCACATACTAATATTAATAAATTTAATGATTTATATATTTATATTAAATAAAATATTTATATTATATTTGATAATTTAAAGTATAATATGATGATATAATAATAAAAAATATAAAGATGATATAATTTAAAATTTTAATAAAAATTATAAATATATATTTTATATTTTTATATCGATATAAATTATAATACATAATTTTTATATAAAATATAATATTAATATATAAATTATTAATAATTTATATGATACAAATATTGATTATCATATCTACGTAAACTTGTGAAATTAATATTAATAATTACAATACTAACTCTTTTATTATTATTATTATTTTGATAAATTTACATTTTTAAGTATAAAAATTATAATTACAATTAAATATTAAATCTCATATGCATGTATATATATGATAAATCAAAAACACAATATATTATATTAATTAAGTTGCTAAAGATCGAATCTTTTACTGTGAAGTTTAAATTTGAATTCACTGTCAGTAATCTCCATTAGTAAGTGATTTGAATCGAATACTTTGTTTTTTGTCAGTAATACAAGTCTTGAAAGGGAAAAACTTTCTCTTGTTTTATTTTTTTTTTATGACGAAAAAAATAATATATTAATAAATAACTTTAATATAAAATTAAATTAAAATTATATATGATGAAAATTGATTTAAAAATCTCAAAATTTTAAAATTATTTTTTTGTTATTGAAACAAAACTTTATCTAAATCTAATTCGATTATTAAATAAATGAGTTGAATTTGATTTTTTTTAATTAACAAATCAAAATAATTTTGAAATATATTTGTTTCAAAATCACATATGAGATATATAGTAACTTTAAAAAAAAAAAAAAGTCATCTAAAAAAATTAAGATAAGAACATGCTTAGAATCATGCGGAGTTGGCTCCAAATTCTTTGACAATTATCAAATGCAAATTTTGCTCTTAAACTAAAAACAAACAAAACTAAAAGACAAAGATAAGAGCAGCGCCCGATTTGGAGGGAAGCGCACGTGGATAACGAGGAAGATTTGATTTGTGAGTCTGGTTTCTACACGACGCTCGATAGGACAATTAATATAAAAATAAGAAATAAATTTAATATAATTTAAAATTTTAATAATTATTATATATAAATTTAATAAAATAAAAAATATATATTTTATTTTTTTATTGATATAAATTATAATATATAATTTTCATATAAAATATAATATAAATATATAAATTTTAATATTTTATATGATATAAATTATTAAATTTAAGTAATGAAGTAATACAAAAATATAAAAATGATATAATTTAAAATTTTAACAAAAATTATATATGAATTTAAAAAATTAAAAAACATATTTTAGATTTTTATATTAAAATAAGTTATTATAAGAAATTTTTGTATAAAAAAAATAAATATATAAATTATTAAGTTTTATATTATATGAATACACGTGTTTCCCAGATTTAAGCGTGCTAGCCAATCCATTTGCTTTATTATTGCTACTTTTTTCAACCGCTAAAAATTGTTTCTTTTATGGTGGGTCTCGTGGAATCTTCAGCATTAGCTTAGATAACATGCGCATTGGAAATATTTTTTAAAACTTATATATTTAAAATATTTAAATCAATAATGTGAAAATCATGTAAAGAAAGGTTACAAATTAAAAAGTACATTAATTTAAAAAATTTTAAAATATTAAAATGTTTTTGAATTATTTTACTTTTTAAATAAATTCTTACATTTTTATTATATTAAATAAATTTTTATCTTTTGATTTGTATTTAAATAAGTTTTTATTTCAAACAAATTATTACAATTTTTTTGGTTCCTTTTAATCAAGAAAAAAATTGACTCTTAACATGATGTCTTGCATACATGATGTCTTATTTTAAAAGTTTATTTAAATAGAAATTAAAAATTAAAAATTTATCTAAGTGTAAATTAAAGGTTAAGGTTTATTTGTATATAATAAAAATATATGGACTTATCTAAAAAAAATGAAAGAGCTTAGGATTTCTTAGTTATTTTAGCCAAAAAATTATATTTTTTAGAGAAAAAAACTATAGTTTTAAAACTAATATATATAATTCTTACAAATAAAAGATCTAATTATATTTAATAATATAATAAAATTTAATATATTTATTTTTTAAAAACACTATATCATTAGTGTATTTATATACTAAATAATCACTTTTGTAAAAAGATGTAAACATTTTTTTATTTAAGAATTGAGTCATTACATACCTTACTTAATGAAATTTTGCATTAAAATAACTATATTGTTTTTCTTTTAAACTCATCTTTATTTTTAACCTCATTTTTATCTAATAATCATCTATTAACTTTATTTGGAGTGTCCTATTAGAAGTTTCATAATTGAATCTTAAGATATTATAATAAAAAAGGTAATCCTACAAATTGTTAGCTATTTATCAAAAGCAAGACAAGAACAATATTATCTTGTTTTTTTTTTTTAATTTTCAAAATAAACCACTTTTAATTGAAATAAATGTTCTTCACTTCTTTTTTCAAATCAAAATATTTTACTTCAAAGATTAATGCCAAGGGAAAATAATAAGTTAGGGAGCTAAAAAGCTCTAAAATTGGTTTAGGAGAATCATTTTTATTAATGAAAAGATTATTATTCTTAAAGGTCGTATCGTTAATATTCTCATTATCATATTAATTATCAAGTACCTAGTCATAGTTTTAAGATAAAAAATCCTTTGTTCAACTAATCAAATCATCATCCATGAGATATAAAAAGAAAAATCAAATAACAAATATAACACTCGTTAATTTAAATCTTTTAAGTTTTCTCTTTCATTGTTTTTTTCTCTCTTTTGTTTCTTTTCTTTTTTTTTTTATACACTTAATTAATTTGGACATCAAAGTAGGCCACAAAACATTATTTTCGACACCTCTTGATATGTTTTTGTAATAGGTCTAAAATGCTATTCAATTAAGCGTCTATAAAACATTTTTATTATTGGATAAAGAATTACATTTGTTACACCCATTTACTTTATCAACATGATCAACCCTTTTAGGCACCCAATCAATACCCTGTTAGGTGCTCAGCTAGTGCACATCTAATTGCCATATCATCTCTTTTTAAAAACTGACTTGTCTTTCGTCAAGAAAGGGCTTATGCAATATCCCTACTGATATTCCATCAAGGCATCACTTCAAAATTGAACATTTTATCTCTAACTTACTTAAAACTATTAAATATAATTTATGTTTGCTTAAAATTATTAAATACAGTTCACAATCACTCACGTAGATTTTTCTTGAGTTTTATGTAGACTTACCATCAACTGTCAAATGTTTTAGTCAATTTATCACCCTTTTAACTCATATATAAAGTAAAGATGAAGACCAGATACATAAAAATTAAGATTTAAGTATCCTTCCATTGTGGTTTCCTTTACACACCTCACTTTCTTTCTTCTTTAACCCTAAATACCACATTGATTTGAATATCAAAATGTATTTCGAAAAAATAACTATAACACCCTTTGATCGTGTTTTTTAATTACAGATTCAAACCATTTCACCTTTAATCTCTCAACAGCTCATTTCGGTTAAAACATTCAAAACACTATCAACAGCATCAATAAAAACGTTAATTAAGAATAAGTTATAATCAAAATTTGCATAACAAAATTAAAAGTTAGGTTTAAGTAATTTTGATATAACAATGGCTAAATATCTCATTGTCATAATCCACCAAACAACAAGATAGATATTTAATGGACAAGTCCTTATCCTAGATTAATTTTATCCTCGTCCGAAGACATTTTTGGTCAATCCACCATTTATTTTGCAAACCTCAAATTTTCATATATTAATTTAAGTCGTCAAAGTTATGGATAAGAACATATAAAAGTGATGGGAAGCACAAGCCAATTGATTTTGTTTTCTTCTTATAAGTCTCGTGGGTTCCACCTTGGAGAAACCAAACTTCATGAAAAGCATGTAATTTTAAACAACATATTTATCTTTAATGTTTTTTCGACCTCACCTATGACAATTAAATAATTGTATCATTTTTATTAAAAAAAAATCAATAATATCATTTGATTTTGATATGTAATTTTAATTTTTTGTTTCTCATTTTACATTATACGTTAATTTTGAAATAATTAAAATTATAAATCTAAAATTTAATTAAATTAATTTATATAATTATTTATATAATTACAATATTTTTTATATAAAAAATCAACATTATTTTGGGATATTTCAATCCGAATGAATGGGAAAATATTTTTGAAACAATTTTGAC